GGGACGGGAGCCACGGCGGGGACGGGCACTGGGAGTGGGATGAGAGACTGGGACCGGGGTGGGCATGAGGGGTGGGATGGGCCTTGGGACTGGGATGGGCACTGGGACTGGGATGAGAGACTGGGAATGGGATGGGCATGAGGGGTGGGATGGACACTGGGATGAGGAACAGGGATGGGCACTGGGACCGGGATGAAAGACTGGGACCAGGATGAGAGACTGGGACCAGGGTGGGCATGGGGACTGGGACGGACACTGGGATGAGGAACTGGGACGGGCACTGGGACTGGCTCTGAGACCAGCAGAGGGACAGGGACTGGGATGGACGAAGGGACTGGGACAGGGACTGAGATGGGCCCAGGGACCAGGAGGGGAACCAGGGAAGGACGGGGACACGGACAGGGACAGTCAGGGGGTGGCACTGGGGTGGTGTCCAGGATAGGTACCACGATGGCAGAGGGGGATGGGCACCGAGATGGGCACTGGGGGGGTGGCACTGGGACAGGGGACACATCCCCGTAGTGAGGAGCTGGGATGGGCCTGGGGACAGCACCAGGAGGGGAGGTGGGGAGGGACGGGGACAGGGACAGGATGGCTGCGGTGCCCGCAGGGGCTCTGGGCATCATGTTGGGGTTCTGCTACCGCCTGAGCTGCGCCGCCTTCCTGGGGCCCTACTGGTACCTGCTGCTGCTGGACAAGACCTCCTGGAACAACCACTCCTACCTCTACGGGCTCCTGGCCTTCCAGCTGGCCCTGCTGGGCGCCGACCGATACGGGTGGGCACCGCTGGTGGCACCGCCACCCCCACCGCCACCACTGTCACTGCCACCACTGCCATCCCCACGCTTCCTGGGGTGTCATCAGGACCCTCCCAAGGTCACCATGGTGTTGGGTCACCCATAGGATGGCACAGGTCCTGGTGTCCTCCATGGGATGGCGTAGGCTCTGGTGTCCCCAGGGGGTGGGTGGCACAGGTCCTGGTGTCCCCCATGGCACTGGCACATGGTGGGGTGGCATAAGGATCCCCCACTGTACCATGTCTCCTTGCTTTGGGTCCCCGGGGGGTGGCACAGGTCCTGGTGTCCTCCATGGGATGGCGTAGGCTCTGGTGTCCCCAGGGGGTGGGTGGCACAGGTCCTGGTGTCCTCCATGGGATGGCGTAGGCTCTGGTGTCCCCAGGGGGTGGGTGGCACAGGTCCTGGTGTCCCCCATGGGATGGCGTAGGCTCTGGTGTCCCCAGGGGGTGGGTGGCACAGGTCCTGGTGTCCTCCATGGGATGGCGTAGGCTCTGGTGTCCCCAGGGGGTGGGTGGCACAGGTCCTGGTGTCCCCCATGGGATGGCGTAGGCTCTGGTGTCCCCAGGGGGTGGGTGGCACAGGTCCTGGTGTCCTCCATGGGATGGCGTAGGCTCTGGTGTCCCCAGGGGGTGGGTGGCACAGGTCCTGGTGTCCCCCATGGGATGGCGTAGGCTCTGGTGTCCCCAGGGGGTGGGTGGCACAGGTCCTGGTGTCCCCAATAGCACTGGGTCCCTGTGGGGTGGCATAAGTATCCCCTATGGTGCCATGTCTCCTGGCTTTGGGTCCCCAGGGGGTGGCAGAGGCCCTGGGGTGTCCTCCCCATGGCATCAGGGTCCCCCAGCCGTGGGCTCCCCGTAGGGTGACAAAAGCTCTGGGATCCCCTGTGGCACCGGGGTCCCCACGGTGCTGTGTCCCCAGGGGGTGACCCTGGTGTCCTCATGGCGCTGGGGTTTCCCTGCGGTGCCGGGTCTCCGCGTGCACGGTGTCACGTGTCCTCCATGGCACGGGGAGCAGAGGTGATGGTGACCTTCCTCCGGGGGCGTCCCCACAGGTCAGTGGACGGGCTCCTCCGTCCCCAGAAGAGGAATGCCCACGTGCCGCTGTGGAACTACACCCTGTTGCGTGCCCAGGTGGGTGCCCGGAGCCCCCTGTCCTCTGCCTGGGACGCCTGGGTCCCCTCCAGGCCCACCTCTCACCCCCTCCCCCGTCATTCTTTCCCCTTTCC